AATTATAAACAAATTAATATTAAATTTAATAATTTCAACATTGTATAATGAATTTTATAAATAGTTCTCCTATGGGCTCTTAAGGAAGTCACCAATGAAAAGAACGAAATATGCGCATGACATGTAATTTCTTTTTCGGTTAGGTTTCTTCCGCCATATGCCTTCACAATTTGTTCCCGCCAAATTTCTCATTTTACTAAACACCAACAAGTGGTAAGCCCACTAGTGACAGCAACAATTGAGTGGCGATTTCGTTCAGTTTACTTGTACTTCTGTTATTATTAACAAGGTGAATAATATTTTAGGTTTGATGCTCGTAGATCGACGGATTAAAAAAATAAATAGAAGTTCTTTTTTATAATCTTTAACCAAATAAACGCATCAAAATGTACGTGAAAGTGAGAACAATGGATGGTAAACAGGAGGCGATAATAACTATCTCTAAATTAACGGAGGTAGAGGATTTTAAGGTACTTAAATCTGAGGTGAAAAGCATTTTTTTAGATAACGAGGGAACCTTGATATTCATATGTAATTGGTGTCCTCTTTAATATTAACATGCAGGTTTTTGGTATAAGAAACAAAATTATATTCCTAAATGTATTTGTTTCATTTCTTAATAAAGCAATGTTTCTATAAATAGGAATATGTGTAAATCAAAATAAATAAATGCTTCATTTTATCTATATTTATCTATTTGGAATATTCTTGTTATGTTTGTTTAGCTGCATTTTATGAAAGCTTTGATAGTGGTGCTCATGTTACTTAGCTTGAAATATCCAGGTTTATGTATTAAAGTAAAAATATCATTTTGCAGCATGAAGTTGAAAAGGAATTACAAATAAAAGTAGACTTGCAACGATTATTTTTTCGTGGTAAACAATTAGAAAATGGTTACAAGTTGTATGATTATAATGTTAATTTGAATGATGTAATTCAATTAATGGTGAGAGTACAAGCTGATGATGTAGAAAATAATGCTACCTCAAGTAGTAATTTTACTACTAATAGTTCTAATTCTGAAAAAGATAGTATAGATAATTCTAATGAAGAGGAAGAATTAATTGAAGCTGAAAGTTTATATTATAAAATTGGAGATGCAGTAGACTGTCTTGATCAAACTTATGGAGCTTGGTTTGAGGCCATAATATTAAAAATCTTCAAAAATGATGATAAACTTATTTATAATGTACAGTGGGAATTTGATGACAAAGCTCCACCATTCAATGTACCTGAGTCATCAGTAAGACCACGTGCAAGACAGCTTTTACAATCTAGTAACTTAAAAATAGGTCAAAAAGTAATGATTAATTACAATGTTGATAATCCAAAAGAAACTGGATTATGGTATGATTTCACAATATTGAAAATAGATAAAAAGAAAAGATCACTACAACTTAATGGAACATTACATATTGGAAGGTAAATTTTATTATATAACTTTTAATATTGTATTTAATTTAATTTATTGTGGAATTGAAATGTACTGCTATATAAACAGAGATCAACCACTTGAAAATCATAAAGTAAATCCTAAAGGTGAGATTTTTGCAATTGAGGAGCCAATACTACTTAAAGAAAGAACTCTTGAGGATGAACAACACATGGTTAGTAGTGGTAAACGAAGACGTGTTCAAGCTAATTGTGAAGCATGTTTGGACAATCCTCGCAAGAAGTGTAAAGAATGTGGTTGTAGAATCTGTGCTGGTAAAGAAGATGAACACAATCTTTTATTATGTGATGAGTGCAACTCTGCCTATCATTTACGCTGTTTAAATCCTCCATTAACATCTATACCTGAAGAAGATTATTGGTATTGTCCAGAATGTAAAAATGATGAAAACGAAATTGTGAAGGTTAATTATCATACAATGAAATTTAGTGTTAGAGTATTTATAGATTGTATAACTGATCATTTTTTAAAGGCAGGTGATAAACTAAAACAGACAAAAAAGATAACAAAAGAAAATAGCAATAGTAAAAGGGATTGGGGCAAAGGAATGGCATGTGTAGGAAGGACAAAAGAATGTAGTATAGTTCCACCAAATCATCGTGGACCTATTCCAGGAGTAGAAGTTGGCATGTGTTGGATGTATAGAGTACAGGTAATTGAAACTTCAAAAGAATCCTGGAAACCTGGATAATTCTTACACATTTGTATAAATCAAACATAAATTATAGGTGTCTGAAGTGGGAGTGCATAGACCACATATAGCTGGAATTCATGGAAGAGCAACAGATTGTGCATATTCTATTGTGTTATCTGGGGGTTATGAAGATGATATAGACAATGGTGATGAATTTATTTATACTGGCTCTGGAGGGAGGGATCTATCAGGTACAATACTTGATTATAAATCAATTTATTATACTCAAATTAATGTATTACATTTCTAAAGGGAACAAAAGGACAGCTGAACAGAGTTGTGATCAAACGTTAACTAGAATGAATAGAGCATTAGCTGTAAATTGTAATGCCAAACTCAATGCAACAGTAGGTGCTACAGCTGAAAATTGGAGAGGTGGTATACCTGTAAGGGTTGTGAGAAACTTTAAGCTTGCTAAACATAGTAAATACGCGCCAGAGGAAGGCAACAGGTATAATTATTATTTGTATTTTATTATATAGCGATACTTAGTGTACATAAGAATACTTTTGTTATAGATATGATGGCATATACAAAGTGGTAAAGTACTATCCGGATACAGGTAAAAGCGGTTTTCGTGTATGGAGATATTTATTCAGGAGAGACGATCCAGCTCCTGCGCCATGGACTAAAGAGGGTAAAGCACGAATAACTGCTCTTGGCTTAAAACCGATGTATCCAGATGGATACTTGGAAGCAATGGCAAAAAATAATAAGACGAATAAAAAGAGGAACGAGTTTACGGAAGAAGAAAAGTCTAATACTCCGGATAGCGAAGAACCACCGAAGAAAAAACAGAAACGTGAAGGTTACGCATTAGAAACTGAAGTGGTAAAATATATTGAAGAAGATGGAGCAAATACAAAATTGTGGGATGAATGTCGCAAATCTTTATCGAATGGTAAAACTGCATTTTTGCAACAAGTTTCAGAAAGGTATTACATTATTCTTTACGTTTTCAATGGTATTGAGATTCCAAATATTGATAATTTTTTAATTGCAGATTCACATGTCCTTGTTGTTTGGAGCTCGTTTATAAACCCGTTACTATTCCATGTACACACAACATTTGCTTTAATTGCTTAAAACGTAGTTTTTCGTCAGGCGTACATTGTTGTCCATCGTGTCGTCATTTATTAGATAAAAATTACAACATGGAAGTCAATGAATCTTTGTCGTCCGCTTTGTTACTGCTTTATCCAGGATACGAGGGTGGCAGATAACATTGACTTTTTAAAAATTGTAATTATTTTTTAAATATGAATTTGCACACACCTAGACTGTATTAATTAATATTTATAGATACAATTTATATTTCAGTAATGAAATGTATTGGACTATGACAAATTTGTTATAATATGTACACAAATGTGGTGGATAACATAATTTAGTTAATTTTGCTGGTATAAAAAATGAGAACATTAATAATGTAGTAATAATACATTTTTTCAGTGGAAGGGGAAAACACAAAAGATAAAGAAAGTGTGTATAATTAATTATTATAGTACTTATTTTTGTATTCATTTTAGATTTACACAGTTTCAAATTTCCTATTTTTTTAGTAGTGTAGCATTTATACAAAATCGACTAAACTAAAATTCATTAATTATTTGTTTACTGGTGTATACATATTAATGTGTTCAAATTTAATTCAATTATAATACTTCTAAGTTGTATTTTAGCGAATTGTGTTGTTTTCTTTGCTAAATAATATAAACTTTTCACAGTAATGAAAAGTTTGTAAAGTCATGTTATTTTAAAGTGTAGTAAATAAATGTTTTTATTACAACTTATTACATTAAAGTTTTCAAGCATATACAAATAAAAAAATACCATTTTATTGTTGCCTTTGATCAATAGGTGGAACTATATCACTTATCCATTTAAGATATTTTTCACTCCCATTTTTAATCTAAAATATAACATTGTTTCATCTTTATGCATATTCCATTGTGGAACTACATTGCATTAAAATGTAATTAAATAATACTTACAGGTAATGAAATTACTTCACAGACTTCATATGGGTGGTTCTCCCTGTTCAAAACCAATTAACAATTAATTAGAGAAATATAATTTGAAAATATTAAAATTTATACTTACATGACATATTTTGTCAAAGCATCCACAGTATCAGTTCTCGTTTTTATCATCTGAAACAAAAATAAAATGTATAAAATATATCCTAATAATTTCAGTGTACTATCTTTCAAAATTATATGTATTCATACCAATAAAAGTTCACTATCTTCATTGATTTCGTTTTTCCATTCATATCTGTAATATAAAATTGTTACCTTTTTTTAAGTCAAAGTATTGTAATATACATAAAAATTGTACATGATGCTTACACAGAAGTAAGTTGTGGTATGATATTAACACATGCAGCTAGTTTATTTTTCACTAAGCCACTGTAAATTAAAATCATAATTAATCTTTAGAAAAGTAATTATTCGCAGGTTATATAGATCACCTACTGTGCCAATTTTTTAGCAACGTCTTCCGTTGGGACTGTTACATATGCAACGGAATGAACATCTGCGAGACTACTCATATTTCTATAACTATTAGCAGTAACACTTCTAGCTAAACAAAAGAATGTAATAAATCCAAAAATTGATTTACGCGGTATAAGTGACATTTGTTTTCAATCTTTCTGGAACCGGGTCTTTATCACTGACGTGAAGTTGCTCCAGAATATCTAACGCAAACGTATTCTCGAATCGATATTTAGAATCGACCAATATCCTTTCAAAGTAACAGATTACTAAAACGCTCTGTAACATATTGTTAATAAAATAATCACATCAATTAATGAAATATTTAATGCAAATATAGTGATTTTTCGTCGTCAATACCGTTTTACTATAGCTTCCCAAGAGGAATTTACGATGGTGGTTAGTTATTCACGTAAGGTAATAAGGTATTAAGTTTGTTTTGTATAAAAAACTTAAATATGGGTAATACTGTTTGTACATCTTATATTTAAATATAATGGTAATATATAATAAGCAGATTTACATAAATTATGGAAGACACGGATTTTTATCTTATTTCATAAAATCACATAAACATTAAGTGTTAGTTAATGTTTTTTTTCAAATGGTTCTTAACTACACTTACTGTAATTCACTTAACACTCGATTGTAACACTTATATACGTGCGTGTATGCGTTAAACACATCGAATTACAATGTTTGACGCGTTTTATATCTATCTCACTTAATTTGAAATACATACGACATTACATTCTTAAATGTACTTTGCACTCGATATTTTTTGTCCATACAAATGATTAGTTCGACGTAGTTCTTGCTTATCGATAGAAACTTAAAATATTTGCTAATAATATCGACGATGTGTACTTTTTCACGAGTGTTCGAATTATGTACATCAAGTTTTTATGTAAGATTTAATACAGCAATGAAAGAATCGACGGATGCATTTCACGTCGTATTTAATTGGATACACATTATTTCTACAATTTATCGAAAACAAAATGTAAAAACCAAATGATAATTCATTTCGTTCTTTAAGTGTATATATCTTAAAAGGTACATTACGAATTGAAAAAAATTCAATATATGTTAAAATATCGAAACGGGGAATAATCGATGTGTGGAGGTTGGACTCGGTACTTTTTGAAATATGTATCATTTTTGTATTTAATCCCTGTTTAGCATGATACTTTATGAATAATAAAAGTTACGTTAATTTCAGGTGAAAAAATTGTCATTGGTGTACCGAAATTATAAATGAAACTGTGTAAATGAGTTCAAAAATATTTGTAATGGTCGTACTTCTATGGCATAAAAAAATTGTTTTCGATCAAATTCTCCGGTTTTCACTTTTTCACACAAATTTTGTAAGTTTAATTCGGTAAATAGTATTCTCTTGGGATATATTCCGGTTTTGGACTGCTCGGTTCAATACCAAGTAGCTCTCCCATAAACGCGATGTACGTGATAGCCAAACGCAACGTCTCGATCCTCGAGAGCCGCTTCTCGTACGCGAAAGTTGGTACCTGAGGATGCAGGAAGATCGCAAGATCGTTTTCAACAGAGTAATTAATGTAAAAATTATATTAACATTTAAATTTTATTTAAAATATTAATATTTTAAATAATGTATTGAAATAAATGGCTCACTTTTCTGCGCAGCTTGTCGAAAGCCTCGTTCAGATTGAACATTCTACGCCTCTCACGAATATTTGCTGCTCTTCTTTGGGAAACAGTCGCCACACGACGTCTTGGCTTCTTCGTAGTAGAAGATGGAAGATTGGGTGATCTGCCATTAGGTGTGTACCGGCTGAAATTATTTTCAAGGATAGACAATCACAACGAAGCACTGTTCTAACTTGTTTTTTTCTTTTTTTTTTCTTGGTCTTTCTCTAGAATTCGATGTTCATCTATCATAGAATTCTGCGTAAAAGACAGCAGCAATTACCTTTGATGTAACAACGCACAGGGTTGTCTATATAATCCGTGTTCGTTAACATGAGAATGCGAAGGAGGCGGAGCTTGGTATAAGACAGAACTGTCCCACATTGGGTAGCTTCCGAGTTCTCCACTGACGTATTGTGACATATCTGCTGTAATCACCTATTTCATTTACTTACGTTTACTTTTATTTGCACGTTGTTTCTCGATATTAACAAAGAAGCATCGCCATTTCAATTAAGGGAATAGAAAATGAATCGAATCTCGTTGAAGAAAAGACAAAATTTAACCCTTTTCAACTCAACGAGTCTAGAGAGACCCGTTAAAAATATTTCGTATTTTTTAAAATAACAAATATAACATATAATAATAAAGAAATAAATTATCTCATTTGTGTTATGCTTCTTTATATTGTAGTCACACTAGAACGAAAACAGTTCGGGTGATTAATTTTTTTTTTTTTGTGTGTTTTAGGAAACGTCTAAATGACGAAATTAATGAAAAAGTTAAAAAAAAAAAAACGTAGAATTTGGTCCGGAAAGGGTTGAAAAGGTGATTTGATAAAATTTTTACTGAACATTTTGTTTGTACAGTGCGAAAATATTTAGAACTTTCTAATTATTGTAAATCTTATGAAACTAAAATTTGGAGAAGCGCACAAAATAACATTTTACCATCGAATATTTTCAGGGAACGTCTTTGTCGTACGAAAAAAATTCCAAAAGTATATTCACCGCTAGTTAATTCACTTCCAATTATTTATACCCACTGGTGCTTGATTTCCATTGATCTCCCACAACGGTTCGGTGTAGCTCATATCCCGGATTCTGTCCAGCGGTGAGCGAGCTCAGGAGGACACTTGGTCTGATTTGATTTAAAAAAAAAAAACAATGAAAAAGTATGTTGAGACGAGGGAAATAAAAGTTCGTCACTGTCGCGAGTGTCACCTTCGATCTGAGAATACGAAGGATACCCTCGTTCAGGGAATCGAACTCCCGTAGTTCGGTCAATCTCGAGCCCGCCCCTTTTCAAAGCCACCCTCCTATTCACCACTCGTGAACGCTTGCGTCGTGATCCTGCTTTTTCATTGGAGAATCTCACCCTGTACGAGCTCAAATGAAGCACGATCGTTGGACAGGGGGTTGCAATAGGGTGGAGCCTTGTAACAACCCTTACCGTGTGCCTTGTTTCGTAGGTGTCGAGGGTTAAACGATATTGGGATTATCGACCGTGGTATATGTTAAAGATGGACAAACTATTTGTTGAAAAATTTTTAGGATCATGTACATTTCTTTGATTTACTTTAACTCTCTTCTCCTCTGTTGTAGGTACTTTGTAAAAATTGTGATTTTGTCATCGTGACTTCTGGAGTCTACTATTGAATATAGATGAAATATCATTATTGTTAGACCGTATTTCGATAAACTTTGATTATATTGAAATGAAGAGGGTAGAAACAGTAGTGGTAATTTTTTGAAGATTTAAATCTACGCTGATTTACTTTTCGACCATCCTCCAGCGAATAGGGAAATTTATTTTCAACAAGGATTAACAGATACTCCTTTTATCTCCCTTCTGGAGTCATGGTATGACACGTGTACTGAATGGAGTGTAATCATCCGATAAAGTTTCTCTGTCAGCGCATTAAGCACAGCTATAAGTACGAGGACATTAGCAAATATTCTGTTACCGTAAAATTTTTCTTAAATACAGTAAGAAAAAATACTTTATTTCATAGTGAAAGAAGGAAGAACATTTTGTTACGCCGGATAAATTAATTAAGTAATATGAAATGTAATATGAAATACAGTGGATTCCGGTTAATTGGGACACATTGGGACCGGACTAATTTGTCCCAATTAAGCGGCTGTCCCAAGAAAACGAGTTTCAACAGGCAAAATCTGAACAACGTAAAAAGTGAAGCCAAAAACGATTTATTTATTTATATTCCGTTCTTCAGTATCTGTCCCAAATAAACGGCGGTCCCGCTTAACCGGCGTCCCAATTAACCGAAATCCACTGTATCTTATTTATGTTCATTAGCAAATTTATCACTCAAATGATTGCTCGAGTGTTGAAAAATTCTGGGTTTTTTTTTCGTGTTACAGTTAAAGTTCGTACAATTCTTTGTAAGTTCGTTTCAATTTAAAAACGATTATCATTCGTCCCTAAAAAAATGTGACATTTCATATTACGCTACTTAAAAATTGTTCATCGATGTTTAAACCAAATCACGATATATTTCTCGATGATTTGCTCGTTCTAAAATTACGACTGATACAATTTTCAGGAAGTTAGGATATTACGATTTCTCTGTGTCCATTTCGAGACAAATTGTTCTATAAATTGAGCCCGTAACAGGATCACTTAGAAAACTGTGACAAACTCTCCTCAGAAGGGTAACATATTGTCAAAACCGAGGGTTTGTTCCCCCAAATTAATTAAATAGATATTAACCGATTCACTTGACGCTAAGTTCTCCCTTCTAACGCGTATAAACATCCAGCGTACTATCTGCGTGTCAAATCGCATTGTGTTTGCTTCGAGAGCCAGAGGGTGCATAAAGATATTAATATTCGGCCACGAGCAGTCATCCTATTGAGATCATCTCTGTTATTGTTGCGTTCTGATGCTTCACACCCCATGGTTCTTTCTTCATTTTTTCTTTCTAATTTCCAGCGAAATTTAGCTTCATTTCTCTCACGTTGTAATATCTTTTGCGCTTTTTTTTTTTCAAAGGAAATTTCGTACGAGTTGAAAGTGGAAAAAATGGATTTTTGTATGTTCATGATGGTTAGATAAATTGAACGACACGTTGAATTTTGTTATGTTCTTCTTTATAAATGACTCGACGAAATTTTCGAGCAGAGGATATATTCATTTATTTAACATATAATACATATTTCGCTGGTTTGTATCCATTAACTGTGTCGGTGGATCTTTAATTCGAGTCGGGTAATATGCACTATATCCATAACTGCAAGCTGACGCTTTGGATCGATGCTCTGAGCGTCGGCGCTGAAATGCTTCATGGCTGAATTTCGAAGCTTTTCTAGAATGAAAGATACTCGATATAACGCAAATGGTTTGCACCGTAAACTATAGTAACACATATGAAATTAGTTAATTCAATGGGACACGTTGAAAAACAAAAGGATTTACTACCACCATTTTCTTACACATTCTGAAAATTATTCTTTCACATTTTTGCTATTCAAAGAATTCTAATAAATGCGCAAAAATAAAATATTAAAAATTATCCTGTATACCTACTGAAGATGGTTCACCTCTAATTCTACTTCAATTTAGATACATGTAGCCCATGTTTTTACAGGGTACAATTCAATTGTTTCAATAATTAGATAACAATTATGTTAGTTGAATTAATATATATTTTATAGTTGTTGTGCATAATTTACAATGTGAAAAAATTCAGTTGTTCCAATATTTCCTTATGTTCTGATATTAGTATTAGCTGAGAAATATGTAGGATGACGTAAAGGGTGTCAAAAATCAGACTTGGGTTCATCCCCTCGTGGTGCACGTGTTCGTTTGATCTAATTCTGATACATTTCTAACAATGAACGAGCCTCCCGCAACAGGGTCACGCCACTGACAGCAATTACGCGATTTCGTCACAGAGATTTCCAGCTTTTTGAATGGTACGCCGCTTATATTGCAGATTTGTCAGGGGGTGTCCGTAAAATAGGATAAATCCAAGCGAAATCTGATTCTTAGCTTAGCATGGTTGGAATTTTGTACGTATATTTGCAAATAATATAAATAATTATGAGACTTGAGAAGTTGTAAAATCAATACAACGATAATTTAATATACAAAATATTTTGTAGTTCCAAGTTTTAAGTTTCATACTTTATTCTATTAAAAATAACGTAAATATAGATAAAAAGTATATTATTTAAGTAATTAGTATAAAATCTTGGAGAAATGCATGAATAGGAGGTAAAAAGGAATACTGTGAGTAAAAGAAATACAACATATATATTGAATTAATCTTTATTTTTAGAAAATGATAATAAAATATATAGCATAATTTTATTGAATTACATGTTCGTATTAGTTCGCGGTTTTCTTTTAAATTCTCAAAATTATCTGCTACCCACGTGATTCGCCCTTCGACCAATCGTATGCGTTAATCTATTCGTCATGGGCAATCATTTTTGAAAGTTTCCTCAGTAAGTGTTCTGCCGCGATTATGTGACGTCTTATTGCAGTTTCTTTTAAGTTTTGTAGAACGTAATGTGAAAAACTAGATAAATATGCGCGTGTATGAAAGAAAACGGAAGGTCTACATTTCAGTGTGTTGTATTGCTGAAATTTATTACTGTAGCGAAAAACAGGTGAGCTAAAAATATTTCTGACAGTTCATGAAAAGCACATAGTTATGGATTTCTCGTATTGGAGTTTCGTGGATATAAATTCTAAAAAATTAATCAAATTTATATATTTCGTGGTTATTAACGCTGAATATAGGTAACAAATATTATAGTTTTTAAAATATCGTGAAATGTTTGTTAATAATTTGAGACGAAATATTCCCGCGTAACTATTTCTTCTACGGGGTTCATATAATTTATTTCACGGATTCCAAGATTGCCCAACTATGTCGGCCAATCACGTTTGAGCTTTTGCTTTTTAATTTTAAATTTATTATTCGCGCCTTTACCATGTTAAAAGCATCTGCTTTGATATTCGTGATAAATTTTTGTTCATTATAGGTCCTTATATGTAAATAGAATTAATTTAAAGTGAATTAAGAGTGGTAGTTTTTGTTTTAACAAAGTATCATTGCTTTCGAACTCGTGTAAATTGATAATTTTTATTCTTCTTTGTAAAAAGTATTACTATTCAGACACGGTAATGAGATAAATTTGATAAAAAGATAAGCATTGTATTTTATTTTGTATCTTTGAATTTCTCATAATTTTCGTTGCTTTACAATGATATTTTTTGGAAAATAAATACTATACTTATACGCGATATTTATACCGAATTTTCTATAACGTATAAATTAATTGAAACGTTTTTAAACAGTTGTAAATGTTTTTTCTGTTTATTATATTATAGGGATGATCATCAATTTCAACTATAATGGACTTTTCACACCTATACGAAATTCAAAAAATACCCGATTCGATTTATCATTTAGAATGATTAAAGTAGCAACGTGTAGAAGGTAAGTAAGTCTCTAAAAATATACAACTTTTATTTCAATATATAATATTTAACTTTTTAGTATTATAAATGAAATCGATCATTATCGCAAACCTGTCTATCTGACCTTATCAAAGACGAAATCCGATAGTATTACAAATAAGATTAGATAAATTAAATTTTTTATTTTTTTATTGTAATCTGACACTTTGTACATATACATGTATATTCTACATATTTTTTGAGAAATTCTGGTGTTTTTAATGAATTTCAACAGCATTATTACACTGACACCAGTAATAATACACGAGACACAATTATTACACTAGAACCTAATTAAGATAAAGCATTTAATGTATTGCTTGTACAATAATAAATGCTTTGCCTAAAAAAAATCTTATATGTTGAACAAAAAATGCTTAAAAAACAGTGCTCTAGCATTAAAGCTTTTTACATCTTGTGAAATTTTTGTAAACTGCTCGACACTTACAATGCTGTAATTGCTCCTATTTACTAAAATTTACAACCATACCTTTGCATAGAAATATTTCTGCTAAGGTACATTCAAAACTTAATATTTCTTAAACTATTACAATACGAATCACATTAAAGAAAAGTAGGTTGTTCATATCTGGAAATGAACTAAATTTGTATCACTTGGTTGTAAGAACTACAGTACATTTCACTAAACTTTATCACTGGAAATAAAAATGTTACAATAATATTAAACTCATCTTGGTTATTTCTCTTAAGGGAATATTAGTATTTACTAATAGAGTTTTAAACTAATTCATTTGTTCAGTTAAGATAAAAATACTGTTTCTGCAAAGGCACACAAAATCCATAGGAAATACATTTTCAGTGTTTTCAGAGTAAAAGAAATATCGTACGTGATAATATTAAACAAGTACTTACATCATATTCCCACAAATGTAATGATTTTATCCCTAATGGCTATAAAATTTACTATAAAATCAGTCAGAAACATAATAACTTTGATTCGCGTAGCACCTCAAACATTTGGGGTCGATATAAAACCACAGTTATGTCTATATATATAACTCTCACTATTATATTTTTTTCAACGAGAAGCGTTCTAAAAAACATTTATAAGAAAAATAGTATGTCTTCTACTGTAACAGATTAATCTGTAAGATATTTACATCAATTCTTGAAACGAGTATATTTTGTTAGAGAACCGTTATCGTATAATTATAGTAATCTGAGTTAATGTTTCATAATCCATAGCATTTGTACATTTGTAAAAATCTGTTTAGAATAATTTCGTTACATATATTCATTAAGTAACAAACAAAAAGGAATATTGTAGTATTAATACTTAAGAGTCAATATGTAAGGTACAATTTTTTTCAAATGAACAAATAACTTAATAAAAGGTACATCTCATATACTATTTGCATCGGCAAAACTACGCTTATCAGATTAAAAAGTAATAGTAGCACTTAGCATGAAAGGAACTTTTAAACCCTTTTCCTTTCTTTATTTTGGTTTTGCAAATGAGGTATATTTTGAATTCGTTGAGTCATGAGAAATTTTTATAACTTTTGCAATACGTACACAAATAATTTTACGAAGTTAGTATAATAACACACAATCTAAGACTAGATGTGAAAAGTGCGAATTTCTTTTTTCTCTGTGGCAGGTTGTTAATAAGAAACATTTTTTCTCGTGACTCAACTCATTTTACCTTACGTTCTATTGTATTATTAACATTGCACATACATTATCTACAAAAATACTATCTTACCAATATGTACAAGCGTCAATTTAAAAATAATTCGTGCAATGTGATAAGTATATTATTAAACAATCTTAAGAAGGAATGTTACCTTCATTTCAATACTTCCTTTTTCTTCAAACAGCGACGAATCAATGAATTCATACACTGAACAAATTTTTCTTAATAATTACGCTTTCAAAATGTTTTCACATGTTTCAAGGTACAAAGTAAAGCAGCAATAAATGTGTTCAATTTTGTGTTACAACTAAAAACGTGCGAGACTTGCTTTCCACAAAAATTCATCGACACATCTAGTATTCAGGTCATATGATATAAATTTCAATTTATCTATAACGTCAAATCTTTTAACAACATTATATGTAATAATTTATCTTCCATGGTCAGATCTCACGGATCAGATTCTCCTTTCTTCTCTTCTTGGACATTAAAACCTATTATCACGCTAGAGCTATCTGTCATACTGCTTGCCACAGTCAGAATTGGTTCCTCTGATGTTACATCTGAGGAAGGGTCTTTCGACTTTACCATACTTTGCTTCCAATCCTCCAAATCCTTGTCCGACATGTTCGAAAGAGAGCTTAGCTTGGAGGTACATTTGTAGCTGTAATTTGTCTCATGTTTTTGCGTTGGTGTCTTCGGCATGGAGACACTCTGAGATCGAAAGAAATTCTTCTTCTTGCAACTGTTGGACGAGTGAAGCCTTTTTTGATCCTGATTCCCCTCAGTATTATCTTTACCCTTCTGAACTTTATCTCCATTGGAAAATTCAGTTTTCTGGGGGACAGACGGCTTTGGCTTGTCTATATTATCGGATTCTTTAATTCTAACGTCTTCATCCGCTATTTCCATGCTTTCAACGAGAAATCTAAAGGAATAAACCGATCAACTTCGTTTACTTTTTACAATCACAGAAGAGAATATTTTTTAACAAAAACTTACCTTCCAATTTTCTTGTAAGCACCGCTAGATTTTGTGCTTAAATTTTCCTTCTGCTCAAATATTTGCTTCACATCCTGTTTCTTTTGTTCTTCGGTCTGTTTTAACGTTATCGTATGATCCTCGTCGTCATCCATATTATCGACAGGAAGATCATCTGTACGCATGATCTTTTGTAGATTACTACTGAAGCCAGCTCCAAAGCCGCATTTTCGAATTTGACCATCCTCATTGCTGTAATAATCTGTGTACGATACACTTCCACGACCCTCTCTATGCTCTTGATCTATATTTATACAAAATTCATTGAAGTCCACGTCCAGACATGGAGTTGTGGGAAATTTAGGACCCATATTGAATGGTTGCGCTCTGTGAAAAATGTAAAATGTACGTGACACACGCGATCCATGTTTTTCATTGAATCAATAACGAAATAATTATTACCCATCGTTGCTGATCAAACTTATGGACATACTGCACTCTCCTGTTGACGTGGGTGCGGGAGACGAGGGTTCGGAAGACAGGAATGATTGTGGTTCGCTACTCCATCCAGTACCTAAAGTAAACACATATTACAGGAGCATAAACCTTTATGATCTAATATTAAACTTAAATAACATCTCTGACAAAAAAACAACACTTACTATTAGGACTAGTCGGTGACAATTGATTCCTGATGTCACAAGTCTCTCCATCATTGGAAGGTTTGTACTGTATGGGAGTTGGAGTAATATACCTGAGAGGAAAATCACAATTAATATTGAAACGAAAAAAGAAACAAGAAATTTCAGGGCAAGTAGATACAAACTCCCTGACTCTCTCTCGGCAAAAATTGTTGTGCTGAATAAAAAAAAAAAAAGAAAGCAAAGTGGGAAAGAACTGAATACTCACAAGGATGGTTTACTTAATTTCTTACGGTACCTGACAGCTTCCAAGTCGGAAGAGTGGTACTCGCGACTGATTCCTCCAATACTGAGATTCTGATTAACTGACTCATGGGTTGATCCACCGGGTGAAGGATATTTTGGAGGCGACGAAGCTGGTGTCCGGAACAGAGGAGCACTAGTCATCATTTCCAGGAAGGAATCCAATTGACGCAATGACAGTGCATTGTGAAGGGTCTCCAGGGGTCTTATTGGCGGTACACCGCCAAAACCTTCTATTGCTAACGAGCAGAAGATTGAATTGGTTCCATTAATTAAACAGGACCAGAAAGAAAAAACTAAAAAATTAAAGCAAGCATGTGAAGAAGTTGAAGATCGATAAAAGTTTGTAGAAAAGGTAAAACTGAAATTTACCAGCAACAGCAGAAGCATGAGGCGGCACCATGTCCTTGAGATTCGGGGCACTGGAAGAGCCACTGATCACAGCTGTACTGAACAGACTGTTCGCTGATCCTGTCAGCTTCTTGTTGACGTTGTAGCCCAACAGCTTGAAATAACTCATCTGTCCGGAGATACTGTGACGGTGGCGCCTTGCTGTGCAGGTAGGGTCAGGTTGAATGATCGAAGGTCGTGTGTCTGGAGATGAGAAGGATCGTTGAGGCTGGAGTCGGGAGAACGGTGCACGTGGACTCTTGGAACGATGGTTATACTTGCGAGGAACATTGTGATCGTCGTGAACATCATTATCGTGCGCAGAGGACGTATGACAAAGCGTACTACTATGATCTGATATCTCTACCAGGCTACCGTGCCATTGGAGATTCACATTGGGACAAGACCAACGCCTGCATATTCTTGAACAAACACCGACTGCTTGGTCATTCTCAATAGAACAAACTGAATCGACACGAGAGAACACATCGGACTTCAGATTTGGACAAGACATCTTTCTGCTTGATACAGGTACTTTCACAACTACATTATCACCACTGAACGTACATTTCAACGTATTCATATTAAACCTCCACTTCTCTTTCTCCTTAGGCGGCACGAATTCACTGCAGTCCCGGCTTCTTGAACAACGATCGAACCTTGACTCTGAACAAGAACCAAAACCACTTTGTCTCTCTAGGAACGTGGATGGCTTCGGACACGCAAAGGATAAACCAGGATGATTTAGTTCAGGGATTCCTTTGAAATTCCCGTAACTATTATTCGAGGAGATGCTACGAGAGGAATGACTGGAACCATTTTCCTGCAGGCTCGAGTAACATGAACAATTAAAGAACTTATGCGAAAGAGAACGAGCGAAGTAAATGTCAAAGTTGGAACGCTCGACTGGCGGTAGATCCCTGCTCCTCAAGATCAGCTCCGATACGTTACAATTATAACAAAGACACTTGGGTAGATAAGGTGACAATGAACGAGATCGTTTTTCTAGTTTGACTTGCCCCGTGGATGTCGCTGTCTCTGGGGTTCTTTCACGCAAGGATAACGAGAAGAAAGGGGAACGCTTTGGCTTTGACCACGGATTGCTTCGCGGCGGTTTCGAGGAATCGATCAACTCACCGCTACACTCGATCCCAGGGAGAATCATCTCTGAATGAGAACGTCCGTATTTCTTACTCTGAGAACGTGGGTCAGAATAGTTGGGCTGTACGGGATCGTTATTGAAAAACGAAGAATGAATCGTGGGGACTGGTATCACGATACTCGTCACGTCTGAGGTGGTCCTGCTGTTCGGTGAGACTAGAGGAGACTTGTGTAAAGTCACCAAAGGTGTCGAGCTCGAAGTGGAGGTTTTGATCAAGGGAAGTGGTAGCTCCGGTGAACTGAACGAATGCGGTAGACCCGGTATTTTTTCCGTTGACACGTGCAGCAAACCCTGGCCAGATCTTTCTAAATGGAGTTCTGTTACATGCTCTGTATCGTATTGTGATGTATCGCATGCGTATTCATTATGAACGATGTACAGAAAAGAGAGAACGGTGCAGTTAAAAATGAACGAATGATGACGATGTAACAGCGGGACAGGGTACAGAGGAGGGAAAGAAAAGAAAAGAAATAGACGATTAAATAAACCCATTACCGAAGAAATCAAAATAAGCATTGGCAAGAACCTTTGGTCACGTCGTCGGATCTTGAGACAATTAAAGACTTGATGAAGTCCCCCCTTGACATATCACTCTACCTTTGTTACTTTTATTGGGAGGATTTTTTTTCAAGCTTAGGATCTTCCATATTTTAAGAATTCAAAATACTTTTTTAATAGAATACTTTAAAAAACTTTTAGGTACTCCGCTTTACAATAGACTATGAACTTAGATTAAAAGATAATGATACTATTAGAGTTTACAGAAGACGACGTTTCAAAGAAAAGATTCGTTACCAATGGAGGAATAAAATAACTGAAATAGACTGGAAAAGAACGACATATACTTTGACTTGCTTGCGTTTAGAAGGCACAAATTTGGTTAATGTTACACACCCACGGCACACGATAGCCATGCAACCAGTAAGCCAACCAGACAACATCAATTTTAGTCTATGAACACTCTATTGACAGTTAATGTGATTATGATCTTACATAATGATGACAATCAAAGATTTTATTTGACATAATTATTCCATTTCACTCGTGAGATTTGCATTCCAATTGTCAAATATTTGATTGCCATCAGAGACTGATTTTGTTTAGATAAATATGTGGAGATCCAATTTCGTTTGTGCTTAGAATTTCTAATACCAATGAAACGATCAAATAGTACTTTGATGGTATAGACGGAAACGTAAAAGGTCACAAATATTACTATATAAAAAAAAGTATTTGATTTAAAAAAAGAAATTAAGGTAAGAGCAATCAAAGAAAGTACAAAAATAATGCTTAAAAAAGTATAAGTATTAATAAATTAGCATGTAAAATGTACGTGAAATAAATGTGATTATAAATGACGGAAAATTAAAAAATGATGTGCTAGTATGGTAAACTGCATATTACCAAGTATATACGAAGAAAAAGCTGTGATGTGATCTTAGAAAATAACTAAGCACTATCGACTGCGAATCTCGATGGAATAGTGAGTTAGGAATGAAGGAATTAGGACGACGGCTGAATGAATTACACTACGTTTATCAATATGTAATCCAAACAGTCGTGCATATACATTAGTTGGCTTCCACGCGCACAACTATCGCTGAGCAAAGAGTTATTTCAACTGAATTTTTCTATTTCCATCTAATATTGTGTCCTTTTGTTAAGTTAGTTCCATTAACTGTGTTCTCACTTGTTGTATAGTATGTTTCAATTGTAAAATATCTATCCATCAAGCTATCAAAATTTCAACTTTGACAATAATTTTACAATGTTACAATACTTGAAACCAGAAACTAAACATCGCTCGTACGATCTATTACACACAAAACTGAATATAATACAAAAGAATAAAATATATATAATATATAAAAAAAAAATAATAATGCAACATTAAGGATTAGGCATGATACTGAACACTAACTACAGAAGATTATGTATGTACTTTTACTATTAATAGTAAGTTTACTATGAGACAATGCTGCTTAAAAGGTACTGCAATAACAGTAAATACAAAGGATGCTGTTGTATACTTTTTAGAAGAAATAAAAGATGCAAAATCACAGCGATCAGCAGCTACAAAAATTGCTATCTCAAAAGCAGAGAGTATATTTGTATGATTAACTAGATAGTTAACTTTTCTAAGAAGACAACACAACAGAAGAATTGTGAATCCTTTTGATGTCAAAGATACAAAATACTGAAAGTTTAAGTATTGTGAAATATCCTGCAAGGATCATCACCCATGATAAGACAATATATTATAACCTGCTGAAAGTATAACAGGAACTGACATACCTTCTTTGTTGACCGCGTCCAAGCTCTGATACTGCAGCTTGTCCGCAGCTATAAAAAAAGACACGAAAAACACCAGGCTTTCTGATGAAAATCTGATTGTTAATCTTAACCATAAGTACCCAAAAAGTAGAACATTACAAATGAAATCAAATGTAATTTGCTCTTACAATACTATATTATATACTGTTTCTTTAGCAATATATTGCTAAATTATAGTAACAGTATAGTTACGATGATGCTATAAGGTTTTCGTAATCTCTTTGTTAAATATTACTGTCATGCATAATCAAAGAAGATTAGCTTGGTCGTTATACGATATATACACTATTCGTTAAGGTAGTGCGTTAAACTACTTACCTTTCTCAGGCTTGTCCTGTCTCTGGTGATCATAACTGCGAGCACGTGGTTCGACAATTGTTCCTCTTTCTACATAGCATCGTTGACGTTGACTAGCAGCTAACTGGCTGCCAAGCCTAGCTGCTTCGTGACCAGCTACAGTTCTAGCACTGAACATTGATGAAGATTCAATAGTTATTCAATCCATTGAAAAAGGGATCGTCGAAAATTTAAATCCGTCTACCTTATTGGAATTGGCGCCGAACTCTGTAAAAAGCCACTGTCAAATGGTTCATCCATCATGTTAGGATCCAGGTCCATCATATCAACTGCTCTGCTAGTCGTTGGACTGTCCATTGTTGAATCAGCAACATCAGTTTCCATCACTGGTGGAGGTGTATCCTTTACATTGGAAAAAATGCTGAATTATTAAAATGCTTTATAAGGAAAACTAATACATACGGATTGTAATGGCAGATTCATAAAGTCATCCTCCAAAATTCCCAATTCTACATCTTCTTCCTCGATTCGAGTGCTACACTGCGAAATGGTGTCTTGAGCAGAACCACCGCTTTCACCCTGGGAATACAATTGATTTATGTATACCTTTATACATTTCAATGTTTATTTTTTTTTTTTTTATATTAAATAAAAATATCGATTACCACATTATGGCTAATTTCATTGCGGGAATGAGGCCTGAAACCTGGTCCTGGTGGCAAGTTCTTCTGCACGCAACAATTCACACCAGGACTAAAATGCAATTCAACGTGAAAACGTTCTTCGCTGCTGGGATCTTTAGTTGGATCTTCGTACAGCATTACAACGATTTGTGACATGTAATTCAATTCAGAAACCATGCTAACATACTCCATAGCCCGGCGCCATTGTTCATCTTTTATTACCTGTGTAATAAATGTATCAGTATCTCGGTAAAGCACACTTGTATGTAAAATAAACTTGAGATACACACATCAAGTAAACCACCATAACGTAGAACAGTTAGCAGAGAATGCACGTGGCTTTCGCTTGTAAAATAAAGTCTGGTGCGAACATGTCGACCGGGACTCGAAACACCATGGGAATACCTGAAATATTTAGCAATCATGCATACAAAATGTCTAATGATAAATGTCCAATATTACCTTGGATTGAGCCTATTAACAGTTTCTTCTCCTGATTCTTCGATATTTCTTTGCAAATCAGCCCTTATTTTTTTCAAAAGGGGAGTGCAAATGCCTTGTCCTATTGTAAGCTTCTCCTGTACTGTTAATCCATATTCCTATGAAAGTTTAAAAGTTAATCTGTTCCTTTAAAGAGGTACGAATTATTAAAAATTTTCACCTGCGGTATCACAATGTCTGCCAGGTACTTAGAGTAAATATACAATTCTTCTGCATGCTCGAATTGCAATGTATGGTTGTTATGTTGCAGATCGTATTTTATGCAATCGTAAATATCAGGGATTTTCGATATATCAAATCTTTTGTTTTTGGTACAGAAATCTTTCTCAATTTTCCCCCATCGACGACCCATTAATTCCCACGTTTCACCATGATAAAGAATCGCATCTAAATACATTAGATAAATGAGTATAATATCACAATGAAATTATATATAAGGTTGTACCTTTCGTTTTAGGATCATCCTTCTTAATGCGCACAATATCCATTAGCTTCTGTATCAATGAGTGAACATGCTGACAACAGCGAACAGGATTTTTAACGAAATCCATCGCTGCATTGATACTCAATGCGTTGCCAGGATTTATCTGTTCCCTATCTTCCCGCGTAAATTCCGTGTCCTGCTGCAGTAATTCATGGAGTCGTGTTTTTACCCTATAAAAGTATATTGTTACAATTTATTCAAATATTTCGCCATAACACTTTCAAATTCTGTTTTACATACATGTTCTGGTATTTGCTACTGTCACAATCATTGTCTAATAGGCCATTAGTGTTAGCACTCTTAACCATCTGCACCAATATAGGCGTTAATTCACCCTCTAACGCAAGTAAACCTTTTGCAAACGCTGCAGCAGTCATTTGAACTCTTCCTTCGTCACTGGCATATATCTTCAGGTCATGACGGAACGTTGAGTGAAGTCTAAGTAGTCCTAGACCTTGTGCGCCCGCATAATCACCTATACGTGCATAATATAAATATTTTAGGCAAAGAAAATATTGTAGAAGTGAAATATATCCGTCATTTTTAACAAACATAAAGTATATATGATTTCACTGAGTGATCTATGTTCTGGTAGAAAGATCATGAAAGATCCCTATACGAATCGTTGTTTGTACATCAATTTATATACATGTAGATAAAATATATATACATGATTGAACACTGTGAAAGTTAGTATATTTATCTTTTATTCCTGTGAAATGAAAAAACTGACTAAAGTTGCTTGTAATAAAAAAATAGAACAATATATACAGATTTGCCATGTATGTGTATGTGTCATTTAGGCATGATACTACATGGATGATGAAATGTAACTATAAGACCTATAAAAAAAATAGAATAGATAAACATTTAAGGCCACAAAATGTATAAAAGCAACTACCTTTGAATTATAAAGCATTTCATTGCGGTAAAAATAGAATATACATTGAATTAGCATAGAAACAGCATTTTTTCTGATGCTTAATACATTCTTAACATGTAAATAGCAATAACTGTACAACAAAAACTTTGTAATCAAATTATCGCTTCCAAGTTACTATTTCTATGCATCTGTAGCACAATCTACGTACAACTATGAACAAGCGTTGATTCAGAATAAAAAGTTACCGTGGTTTGGTAACATCTCTGAGTCTTCCTCTGAAATAACATTTGAAATTATCTATGAATCAAACATTTTCGTAAAGGAGTAAGATATTTTGCTATCCTTCAACCAAAATGAGGTCATTGATAATTCAATTGCGTAAAATTGATCGATAATTCGTTTTTTAAATAATAAACGAGTAACAAGTTTATGAATTCAAATATCTAACACACACACACGGGTTCTATTTCATAATTAAACTGTTTTATATGCGTATGTATATATACTGTGCGAGATAAATAGCGATAGTATATTATATGCGTACGCTCAATTGAGCAGTCCAGATAAACGAATAAGTCCAGCCGGAGATCAGCCAACATATGAAACTTATTAAATAAACAATCTCGTCATGAGGTATAAATTAACTCAAAAATGAGCATGATAAGCGTATGAACATAAGATACGAACCACTAAGGTGTCTACCTTGACCACCGGGGTACATGCAGCGAAATATTCTTCCCAACTCCTCTGCCTGAATACGACCGGCTGGCGTTAATTCTCCTCCCCATTTCAGTATCAGAACAAGCGACGGTTCTCCAAGTCGATCTAGCAAAAATTAAAATTCAATATTAAATAAAATAGAAAATTACAGATTCTCTGATTATTCTATGCTTTCTACCATCGTCCGATGAACTTCCTCTTGGCCGTCCCCTTGGTTGATATTTCATCTGTACCTTACGATTTATCCCCGAGAAGTGACCATACCTAAAATATAATTTTTATTAAATTAGGATACTTTTTTTTTTTATTTAGGATTAATCCTTTTTTTAATTGAAATAAAAGTTATGCATTGCAAATATAATACCCACATTTCCAAGACACTTTTTAATTGCTCTAGTTTCCCTTGTTTCTCTTCCAATTCTGGTCCAGCTGCCCGATGCTGTATCTCAGCTAATAAACTACGCGCAGTATCCAATATCTCTTGCAATTGTTTAGGCCTCTTCAATTTGATGTGACCATGCTTGTAGCCATCGTATTTTGCAAATATTTCAAAAAATCTACAGAAAATGAAAAAGTGTAAAGGAAAATCTTCTTTAATCATATGATATATATTTACATAACATACTTACTTTGGGTGACGAACTTCTACTTTCATTTTCTGCTTCGGCGTTCTATCACCGTGTCTTATAACAGCGACTACACAACGTAATTCCATCCTGCAGTATAGAAATATTAGGAAAAAATGTAATATCCACAAAGAATTTAAAAAAGTGAGTACAAAAATAAACTTGATGTACATTTTTCCAAATGTAGTAGGTACAATTGGCGGATCGTCCAATTGAAAGGGAACGCTCCATGGTATGTGCAAAGTAGGTGCCAATTCCCTTAAGATCATATTTCCTAAAATTTTTGCACAATCATCGTAGTATTTATTAGAGTTTTTGACAAAACTAAATCCATTTACGTCGCAAACGAACGATTGACCATTTGCCCTATAAAATTATGAATTATTTAAACATAGGAAAGAAAGAGAAGAAAAATAAGATTATTCTTTGTAATGCAATTTTTACATACCGAAGTAAATCGAAACCGCAAACCGTTTGTTTGAAAGCCAGGCATACTTTTCTACTAATTAGCTTTTCAGCATTGCTTAATATAACCGGATAACGAATTTCTTTTCCTTCTGAATCTCTCTCAACTTTACCGTCCAATGCAGGACTTTTCCTCGCTTCTGCGTGAGCATAATCCGGACCCACTGTATAAACTTTAACATCTGTACCGTCGGTTGGCATAAAATCTTCATAAATGTAAGACCCCGTCTTACGAACTCGGGATTCTGGTGAATATACACTGCTACGACTTCCAATCTATAAAACAGATACAAGTAGTAGATTTATTCTTATTTTATGAATTGAAATCTCATTTAATTCAGTACATACTTTCCTAAATAATCTCTGACTGCCTCCACCTGCAGATGTAGGGTAGTAAATATAAATGTTATGATCTTCTGCAGATACTGGCTTCTCCACAAATGGTTTGTTGAATGTAACACCATTAACTTCTACATGATCTTCTGACTCCACCAACTCGTGATCTAAAGTGATTTTTTTATTATATATGCATAACATAAAATAATTAAATAATAAATATATATAATAACATACGTTTCGGATCAGATGAGTCTCTATCCAAGACTGCATATCTTGGAATTTCAATACCTTCACTTTCTAAAATAGCATAAACTCTTCTACGATCCTATCAAACATACAATGTATATTATGAACAAAAATACCCTTTATTGTTTGCAATATTTGTCAATATGTATGATAAACAACATACCTGAATATCATACTGCATTGGTAAATTATTGATGATAAACGGATTTCTAAGATTAGCATAATTTATAGCTTTGTCAAGGGGAAAACCCTTACTATGAAAACTTATTAAACAATCAACAATTGGCCAATCTTCTACAGATTCCTGAAAAATATATGTTTTTATATAAAAATGAAATAGAAAGATTCTTCATTTGTTGTTGATAATACCTTCAAAATAACTTCTTCAGGAAATACTACTATCTTAATATATTCAAATTCTTCTAATCTTGTCAAAATTTCCTTCATAGGTTTGCTTTGAGATTTTTTTGCCATCGCACAGACTCCAACCAAAACTTGCTTCCCTTCTCCTTCCAAGTCACTTCCACCCATGCATCCATCATCATTGCTACACCCGTCCGACAGTTCGGCCTAAATTCATATTTATTTAGTAATAGTTTGTCCTAGTATATAACTCTCACAAATTGTTTATATGTTACTCCTATTACAGTTTGTACTCACGTAGTGCTTTACACATTTAAAAATAGCTATTGATGATATAAAAAATAGAATTATAAATATAAGCATGGGATTGGTTAAAAGTTTATAAAAATTTCTATTAATTATTGTGTTAAATATTGCTCACCCAGTATGTTCTTAAGCAGGATAAAAAGCCAGGTCTGTCAATAGTTTGTTTAGAATAATTTTCATACAGTCTCGACTTTTTATTCATTCTATCATTTATTACATTCTTTATTTTCCATGCAATTAGATGTAAAAATTAAAGATCAACCACATGCATTATTTGCCTACATAAAAAGGGATATATAAATGGAATACTAAAAGTATCATTTTTACAAACATATTATATGTCCACCCAACAAAGAAATAATATGGAAACATCCGATGATTTATCATTTCAGATTTCTATTTAATAATTATAGATTGTAGAATTTTCATTTGGAACTTTATATTTTTACTTGTAAATTCAAATATGAGTAACATAAAATTACATGAACTTAATCACTATAAAAATGTATTTTTTGAACAGAATATTATAATTTGATAGTTATTAAAACTGTATTATGAGTAAATTTATACAAAATATATTTGCAAAAATGCAATAACAGTATTAAATATTATAAAATCTTGATTTTAATAATATGTTAAAAAAATAGAAAAACATACAAAACATTCATCACAACAGCACCGCATATCCAAGTCTGTGATGTTTCCAACATTTGAGTCATATGTAGAATTTGTTTTATCATTACAATAACGCCATTTTTCTAGATGCCACCAGTCCTTTAACCAAGTCCACTCCATAATATTATTTATTTTTAAGTAGCACTTCACAAATGTACACTCACTACAGTATTACTTTACACAGATCAACAAAATTATTCTATACAATTTTTTGTATGTCAATACAATTGCACATCATATTTAAAACATAAAATATAATTAAACATTAATGCAAAATGACTTTATTTTGATTAGCACTTATTAAATTAATTTTAATTATTTTTATATCATGAGTACTAAGAAAAGAAGTAACTACCAGTTTGTAACTGAGCAATTTGTCCAATGTTAACATTGCTGCTTGAGCAATTGTGTGTTGAACTGAAAACAAATACAAGCACAGTAACAGAGCACTCTTTGTTTAAAGATAAGGAAGAATTATATCTTTGAACAATCTGATTCATGCTGTTTAGTTTGAGCAAGACAATTTCTTTAATACAAATATCACAATTTTCATTTATTAATTAAAAACTTTCTTATTGAAGGATATTTTAATTTTTCATAAACTATATAACTATAATGCAGACAAAAATGCTATAGAATATAAACCACATGCTTATGCTTTATAAACAGTGACATTTACCAAATATGATTCATGAATGTTATTTAAATACATGATATTTCTACAGAAAACTATGAAGAAGAATATAATAATAGTATGTAAAAATGATTAAAAATGTGTTTTTATTTTAAATATTACTTATGATGTATTACTGATTACATAATTACATTCAAAAAAGGAATAAGAAGAACACACATTCATTTTAATAAAAACAATGTAAATTCTGTGTTTTAATCTTTTACATAACCCATCCAAATTTAGTAATACACAACAACTAAAAAATTAATTAGTAGAAACACTACCATCATTTGCCAATATGGTTCTGCTTCATTATCACAATCGAAGATGTAAACATCAGGAACTGTTGAAATTGATGAAAAATTTGTATTTTCCATTATAAATTCAAGTTTAGAGTATCATTAACTACATGTAGTTATAAACAATAATTCATAAGTAACAGATAATATTATTAAAATATGACGTGAATATATATATTAGATAAATTATTTTACACAATTATATGAAATTACACTTATCTATAGAAAACCAAAGTGAATAGCATTTTTATGTTCTTTTAACTTAAATTTATTAGCCTACAAAACTTTATATTAATAATAATCTTAACACTAGTTAGTATATTTCACTGAGTTTATTAATCAAAAGTCTTTTTTATACATCTAGTATATTCTAATTGATTTTAATGATTTTAATGATTTTCTATTTCAATTCACAGTGATAACACATTAAATGCACTGAACACATTGAATACCAAATTATACTCTATTTTTGTAAACCATTTATACATATAAATATTAATTCATTAAGAAATAAAAAATATGTATATTATATGAAACATAAAATTAATACATTGCATATACAACTATACAGTCAAATACAAAAGTCATCTAATAAAGGT